TTACACTTGAAACTTGACTTTATTATAATAGAATTGAGTGGCTACAAAACTGCATACTAAAAATCTTTTCTTTTTAATATTGCACAAAGTTTGAAGCATGGATTTATATGCTATTTGTTACTATACTCAAATTAAATAACCGAAAAAAAAATTGGTGCGACTAAAATTTTTTCGACCACAGTATGTACGTAAAAATTACATAAACATTTTTTATTCTTTATTTGTTAACTAACTTTATAATAGTTTGGTTTGGCTTATGAATACATAGAAGAATTACATCTAAAAATGAAATAAACAGCAAGACCAGCAATATATCAAAATACATCGATTTTTTTTTGTAAATAAGGAGATACTAAAGAGGAATTTCATTGTCGAAGTCGGGTGCTTCCCTGGCCCAGATAAATTTCCACATAAAAGTTTATATGATGTAGATGTAAAAACGATTTATAAATCCCAATAGCTAAATCTCGCAATGGAAACATAGTGTGAGTTTTACATACTTTTGTTAAATTTTAGTAGTTAAGCATGTTTTAGGTTATTCTTATACTTCTATATTTTTAAGTTATATTTTACAATGCCAGAACATCAGCCCTATTATTTTAACGTTCTTAGTCATATCCGAGCATTTGGTTGTAATCGGCAGGTGTTCTAAAATACCGACTTAATAGTAAAGAAGTCCGGGTGCCCAACCTATAAGTACAGCTGTTCCATGGATTAAATTTGCTATACATTTCTTCCACTTCGCCTTTGCAAAACGTATGTTTAGACGGTCGAAACGGTATCTGAGAGTCATATATAGCAACATATCTAAATGTGCTTAAAATTAGTAACCTTGGCTCAATTTTATATAAACATGTGTCTTACTTTTCATTTGTCCGATAAATTCGAAGAGGATATCTAGCAATAAAAACTCTTATAATGACTGTTATCATAACAAAACCCACACAAAATATCCATAAGTCGTTGAAGTCTGACACTAGACCCATGGATTCAAAACTCCGAGTTGGAAGCTTATATTGGTTAGTTGCAGCATAGGCTGTAGTAGAAGAAATGATTATCGCTGTAGTAGTGGAGATGTTTTTTGCAAGTGAGATATATGATTCCATTGGCGCCCGATAGATAAGTTCGTAATTTAATGGAATTTCATCTCTTTTCATCAAAGATGTCCGTTTCGGCAAGGTCAATTTAGTATTTTGTTTGTGTTTTGTCGAGTAATACCGTGTGAAACTACGAATATGAAAATATATGAAATTGCGCTCATGTAAGGAATATGACTTACCAAACGGCATCTTTTAGAACAGCAATACATCTTGAATATTTGCTGTGGGATGAAAGAATATACATCTTTCTACAAAAGGCAATTGCAAAAAATATTAGCTTACAGTGTTATGTAGTAGAGCCGAGATACTGTGTTTGTTGTTGTTGTAGTGGCCGAGATACTGTCGCTACTAGAGGTGTCCAACTATCGATGGTACTATCGATAGTATCTGTGGCGCCTGTCACACGATCAATATGGAACGTTAACCAGATTCTGATATTGTACTAGGTTCACATATAAGTAGATTCCCTGCCAGCCACGGCTCACCGCTTTCTCCTGAAAATCAAACGATTTACCAACACGTACCCAACTTTTTTGTCATCTCACCCACACACTCAAAAATTGTCGAAAACAATTTCCCTAAGTAAGAGTAGCGTAGCTGGGTACTCTCTATGAATTTGTACAACGATTTTGGGTTGCTGTGCCCAAACGCGTGAATCGAATTAAAAACCTTTTACACACACTTGTAGACAACAGTTCACTATTAAAGCGTTGCTATGAGTACACAATAAAATCACCTCATGTGTGGCCCATTAATCTTTATATGCGTCTATCAAATGTCTTTCAGTACCTTAAATCAAAGGACGTTGCACTGCCTGAAATCGGTTTAAAGTATATTTCACCGAAATTAATCCATTGGCGAAATTTAATTTCGACAACAAATTATGATCATATAGTCATTTGGGACTACTATCGAAGTACTGGTAAAAAATTCAATCGAAGTAATACTCTTCTTGATTCATATCGACAGTCATTTTATAAAAAGTGTTGGTACTATGGCAAATGGATATGGTATACGCCAAATATTTTAACTAAAGTAATGAGATGCATAACGAACGAGCAAAGCACGCCGCCAGAAAATAATGAAAGTTCTATTTTTGAAAGATCATTTGGGTTGCCCGCCATAGAGCAGGTACAGGAAACCAGCACAACTAATGTGACTACCGAAGTTGTAAGCAGAGGTGATGAACTAGCTGTGGATTCGGATTGCAAGATGCCTAGAACTGTTGGGAACTAACTCACTGTGAAAAATGTTTATTTAATATTGCCTGATTATAAAAAGGCAATAATATGACCATCGAAAAAGAAAATAAAATTAAAAATGACAACGTCTTGATTATAAAATGGCAATAAGATGAACATCGAAAAAGAAAATAAACCAAAAAATGGCGGCGTCTTGCGCTTATTTGCAAATAGTACCACTAATCAATACTTATTAGCGTGATTTAGTTATTTGCAAATAAAAAATTAACTCAGCGTTTATACGGCAAAGTTTACCATTTTGCAAATTTTTATTTGCAAATAAGACGTGCGTATAAACATAGTATCTGTTACGTTATGTTATGCTCTCCTATATTATGTAATTTTTTTACCTTTAGTTTTTTTTCACAGAGACTTCTTGGAGAATATTTAAATTTCGGATTGCAAGCAACTACTCGCAACGAGCCAGTAAACCTTGAAAATCGTAAGTTTCAAATTCATATTTGTCACGTACGCAAAGCAGAACGAGAGAAAGAACGAGAAGTCGTGTTTGAGTAGCCGAACTGTGCGGTCGACTAGTAGCAAATGAAATCGATTAAAGTCTTTTTACTTTTCCATTATATTTTAAATTGAACTTTTAATAAATAATATTAGTGTTAATACTAAAATTAGACCACTCGAGTTATTCTTCTGACAGTTTCAGAAGCGGGTATCGAAAATACGCTTTAAAAACAGAGTTGTAAGTAAATTAAACACGACGATTTACTTATACGCATACGACACTCAACGAATAAAGTAGGAAAGGAGCAACTGCTGTGCACGTAATAGCACATACATACATACACGCTCACAACGCCAACGGCGATCGCGATAAATCGTTCTCTCCCTCCCCCCAAACACCTTGGCATGCACAGTCGCGTGCGCAGCTCTCACAACAACGACTACAACCACGACTTCAGCAATGACAGCGGTTTCACAACGCAGTTCACCCACACCTGCACAAACGGAAATTTCGGCACCAGCCCAAGCCAAGCAACGCAGCTCAGCGCAAGTTGACCTACTTAATCCAACAACCCGTACATTGACTCAAACGGCTATTGATAGGTACATACAAGTCAAACGAAAATTAAGCCCACAGCAGCAAAAAATTGCAAACCCATCAAAAATTGCAAAAACGAAAACCACTGACATTAACCCTCTACTGGGAAATAAGTTTGCGATTCTGGACAATGAATGTGACAAAGAGCCGAATGAAGTTTCTAAAGCCAAACCCAAACCGCCCCAATTTAATTACGAGAGCAAAACTGTAGTGAGCTCGTGAATAAATTAACTCAGCTTATTGGAGACAATACGTTCCACGTAAAATCAGTTACCAAGGGCAATATTAAAGAGACCAAACTTCAGATTCTAACTGAAGAAAATTACCGGTTGCTAACCAAACAGCTTAATGAAGATACGAAAAACTTCTATACGTACCAGCTCAAAAGCAGCAAAGGACTGCAAGTAGTAATAAAAGGTATAGAATCAAGTGTACCCATTGCTGATATTGCTCATGCTCTAGAGAAGGCAGGATTTTCTGTTAAAAATGTTGTCAATATTATCAACTGAGAAAAAATCGCTCAGCCTATGTTTAAGGTAGAACTTAAGCCAGAAACAAAGCCAATGAATAAAAACGCAGTGCACCTAATCTACAATCTACGATACCTTCTACACCGAAGAATAACAGTGGAGGAGCCGCACAAGCGATACGGTCCCGTACAGTGCACAAATTGTCAAGAATTTGGGCACACCAGAACATACTGTACCTTGCCCCCAGTGTGTGTTGCCTGTGGACACCTTCACGCATCCGCTTCTTGCAAGGCTATCAAAGATGATGTGGCTGTAAAGAAAAGCAGTAATTGCGGAGGTAACCACACCGCCAATTATAGGGGATGCCCTGTATACAAAGACTTAAAGTCTCGCATGAATCAGCGCAACACAGCCGTACGCTCTTCCACCACCTCAACTAGCTCTTATACATACCCACACCTCACGCCATCAACCACTACACCAGGAGCCTTTTTTTGCCAATGCGCAGCGAGTTCCCAACGTTTCTTTTGCCGACGCGTTAAAACTACAAACGCAGCCAAACACGGCGAAATCAAACTCCAATCAAGAAACATTTGCAAATATTCAAAGGAATAATACTGAGCAAATGCAGCCGAACCCCCCTACTTGTGGCATAGAAGGAATGATATTGAATCTTACTCATTGTATGACTCAATTCATGTCTACTATGCAAGCTATGATTCAAGACCTCATAAAGGCTCAAAACCAATTGTTGCAAATTTTAGTGAATAAAAAATGAGTGAATTGAAAATTTGCTTATGGAATGCTAACGGTGTAAACCAGCGTAGATTAGAACTCAGTCAATTTCTCACTGAATACAACATAGATGTTATGCTACTGTCCGAGACACATTTAACAAATAAATATAATTTCTCCATACCTGGATACAAATTCTATGCCACAAATCACCCAGATGGTAAAGCTCATGGAGGCACAGCGGTGCTGATTAGAAATCGTCTAAAGCACAATGTTCTAGAGTCAAAAGCAACAGCCTGTCTGCAAGCAACTACCATATGCTTACGAAACCGCGACCGAGACTTGAATCTATCGGCTATTTATTGCCCACCGCGATTTTTAATTTCTGAAAATGACTTTAAAGATTTCTTTGATAGCCTGGGTAATAGATTCCTGGCAGGAGGCGACTTCAACGCAAAGCATACGTACTGGGGATCACGCCTTATTAACCCAAAAAGGCGGCAGCTATACAATACCATTATAAAAAGGCCTAATAGACTAGTGGTCACATCTCCTGGTAAACCTACTTACTGGCCTACCGATATAAAGAAGATACCAGACCTAATAGATTTCGCAATTACAAGAAACATATACAGAAATAACATAACAGCAGAAACTCTACCTGAACTGTCATCCGATCACTCCCCTTTATTAATAAAACTATATGAACAGACCCAAAATATCGAAATTGAGCCTCGTCTAACTTCAAATAACACCAACTGGCTTAAATATAAAAAGTACATCAGTAGTCACCTTAAATTAAACGCTGCACTTAACTGCGAGCGTGATATAGACTCCCTTGTTGAACATTTTAAAGAAACCTTTACTACAGCCGCTGGCCTGGCAACACCAAATCAAGTCCAAGTACCACCTACGCATACATCAGTTACAAATACCGAAATAGAAAAACTTGTGGCAGAAAAGCGGCGCCTAAGAAGACAGTGGCAAAGCTATCGCTCACCAACCTCACAGCTACTGTATAAAGCTGCCAGTAGAAAACTGAAACAAGCACTCAAACGTGCAGAGGATCGCAACTTGCAAAGGTACATTAAGAAGCTTTCCCCGAATTCTACTGAAAGATACTCTCTATGGAAATCGCTAAAATACTTCAAACCACCAGTAGCTACAGAAATGCCAATTAGGAACCAATGTGGAACCTGGGCTCGTAGTGAGCAGGAGAGAGCCGAGTGTTTTTCACACCATTTAAAGAATGTGTTTCAGCCAAACTGTCCAACGAACAACTTCAGGCTGCCACGGCTAACCAAAAATAAAAATGAGCTATACACACCTAGCAAGACGAACTCTTTAGAAGTAAAAGCTATAGTAAAGCAGCTTAATCCAAAGAAATCGCCGGGTGCTGATTTTATAACTCCGAAAATGCTAATAGAGCTACCGAATGTTGCACTAGCAATTCTTTCAGACCTTTTCAACGCTATCCTCAAATTCGGTTACTTTCCGGAATCATGGAAAAGGTCGAAGATAATCATGATAGCCAAACCTGGAAAAGACGCAACACAGCCGTCCTCATACAGACCAATAAGCTTACTGCCCTGTCTTTCCAAAGTATTCGAAAAGGTACTCCTATCAAAGATATCTCCCTTTCTCCATGAACGCAATTTAATACCAGCACACCAATTTGGCTTCCGAGAAAAACACGGTACAATTGAACAAGTTAATCGAATTACAAATGAAATCAGAAGGGCATTTGAGCTCAGAGAGTACTGCTCTGCAATTTTTATCGATGTGGCACAAGCATTCGACAAAGTGTGGAACGACGGTCTTATATATAAAATAAAAAAATTGTTGCCGCCGGAATTCCACAAAATATTTGAATCATACATAACTAACAGAAAATTTGCTGTTAAAGTATCCAATGAGGTGACATATCTAGGAATACACTTGGATAGG